GAGTTCCCAGATCTACTCACTTCACAAAGGGGTAGTAAACAAATAAGGATGCATGAAGCAATAGCAATACACCTTTTTTTTTGTTAGCAGGAAGTATGATACTCCTTGTTATAAGGAACAAAATTGGGAAACATGGCAGAGAGAACCGTTTATTGAATTGCCTAAAATATATAAGCAAGTAATAGTTCACTCAGTCTACCACATCTATCTATCCATCCAATCAAGTGAAATAACACTTGAATTCTTTGATCTTTAAAACGGTCTGTCCAAAATGGGTATTTTAGTTGTTGGTGGATACTGGCAAATTGATGGATCTGTCAGTTTGCTGTATTTTTTAAGACAACTCAAGTTCCCAACACTGTCCACAAATAGCTGCCAAAATATCAAGACCCTCATATTATTTTATTTAATAAAGAATGAATTCAGTCAATCTGCCAGATACAAATCTCAACCAAATAGAGAGTTCATTTTCCTGAATCAGTCAAAGTGGTCTCATATACACTTGCAGCCAAGAACAGCACAACCCCTGTGCAGCTCTACTAAGTGGGAAGCAGAACCTGCATATTTAATGAACAAATATAACCACCCTTAATTATTGATATAGTATCATTTATAAGTACTGTATACATAAAAACAAGGCATTTAGCACATTATCACGTAGTGTTGAGCAGAGTGTTGAGCCATCAAAAGCTGATGATAATTCATGTCGAATGTACCATTATTGGCAGTCTTTATTAAACAAAACAAAAATACTGTTTGATCAAATTATTGACATCATACTAAGCACTGTAACACACACACATACACTAAGACTATAGCTTTACTTTAAGATAGTGTCTACGCAAAACGTAAATTACAATAAATGAGATTTGTGACTATCTTTTAAACGTTTTACCTTATGCTGAAGAAATTGTATTTTCCATAGTTGTACAGTGTCGGAGGCAATCTTTCTCATTGCCATGCTCATAAACTGAGGGAATGTAAGCAGTCGTATAGGATTTATTTCAGATAGCCCGATCTGAAGTAACCATGGTTGCAGCCTTGATTAAGACCCTATTGGAAGTTTCTTCCAATAGGGTCTTAATCAAGGCTGCAACCATGGTTACTTAGAGAGAAGATCTCAGGTGAGAGAAGATTATAGAGAGAAGATCTCAGGTGGGATAAGCATGGTCCACCAGGATTCTTGTGTACAGTGTATTGCTCCATAATACGCAATGGACTGTGAGCAGAAAGGAGCTCTTGAACCGTGTCTACACCCAAGGTGGGATGCAGACATTTAGGTGTGAGCTTTGGAACTGTATTGTTTTATTAATGTGTCATGGTTCTATATGTTGTGCATTCTGAGATGCTGCTTTGCTCCCAGTGAATGTAAAGAGTGGTAATCTGAGTATAGCTGACCATACACTGCTTGGAATTTGGCTCAGTCCTGATGATTCAGCCAAAATTTACGCTGTGGGTGGCCTTGTTGTCACCACACTATTCAACAAAATGCAGTGGTTAATCAGCTGCAGTCACTGTTTGGATATTCTGACAGGTAAATATGCCGGCTGTCAGAATACAATTGATAGCAGGGTATATTTCCTCATCCACATTCAAGCATTTTTTTTTGCATTCAGCCCACAGGGTTTAATGGAAAAAAAAAACTACTAGTGTTTAACCAGCTTTACTGTGTCTTTCTGTCAGGTCAAACCAGTCTGGCTGTTCCACTCTGACCTGATCTCATTCACAATGCATTTTCTTTGGCAAAGGAAGAGGAAATCTCTAAAGGTGGCCATACACCTTACACCCATCGCACGACTTTCGTTGTGCGATGGTTGCAAGGCGATTAAAAGTTTGTACGACGATTAAAAGTTTGTACGACCTGCCCACATCATCGCTGTGGGGAGGGCTTGCAGATGATTGCAATGGTAAGCGGGCAGTGTGCGCTTTTGTCTTGCGATCGCGCTACCAACCCGCAGGAAATCGTTTTCTAGCGTGCTTGTTATACGAAAAAATACAACCTTACAATCGTACGATAATCGTCAGGTGTATGGGCAGCTTTAAAAGCCAGGGGTAATCCTCTTTTTCCCTTAGCTCCTGTTATGATGACAACTCAAAAGTTTGGAGTTTCCTTTACTTTCAGTTCTGCTGACAATGGTCACCAGGACAAATAAAGAGGGGGGGGGGGGGGGG